CATAAATGTGTCAACACAAGATTTAAAACATAAATACAATAATCCCACATACTTTAATTTCCCCCACATTTGAAGAGTATATCTCAAAACGTATGTACAACAATTTACAATGTCAGAGTTCCTAAAGCTGTTCAGAATTTGACGAGCCACTTAATGTCAGCCAATATACTGTATACAACATCCTAACAGTCTTTATCAGGGTTATTTAGCTAGCTGAACTCAACCGATGTCAAACTGTTAAGCATAAGAGTTTTTGGGAAGGTGATAATGCAGCTCAGTTTTCTCACCAAGCGTTTTTTCACACCTGGGTTGTTTAGAAAAGTTGTTCTGAAACAAAGGGGCGTTTCCCTTTAGCCGGTTTGTTTGGATGTAAACACAACAATCGCACTCTTTTGATCTGAAGTTATTGAATGGTGCACTGTGTACTCTTTTTTGGCTATCCTTGCTCTTTGCTGCCGTTGTGGATGAATAAAGGTTATCTTCTCTTATTGAGTGACAAAGAGACATAAACAGATCTAGAAATCCCTTCTGCTTTTAAAAGAGGTCCCTGTCATAAAGAATACCTCTCATGAACCATGAATTCAATTATTATCTTTGTTTGTTGTATCTAAATCTCTGAATCACCAGGATTAATGGTTAAAACAGAAACATTAGTAAAATCTCATGGAGCTTCTGAAAAGCGGTAACATGTCAGATAAAAAGTTGACATATTATTACCAAAGAGAACAGGGTATGGGTCATTTAGCAACACAAACTACACAGTTCATTGTTATTAAATGTGCATAATCCCATTACACCTGAGAAAGCAAACAAAAAAGAACATCCTGGATTTTGTTTCAAAAGAACAAGCCAGTGTGAAAGGTACATGTGCTTCAGTTTTGCAGTTCCTCTGTATTTCATTTGTTATATTAGAACAGAAATATGAACTTCTTACCTTCCATTCCTCCAATTTCTCCTCTTCTCCCAATTCCCCATTTTTTCTCATTTCTTTTTCCTTCTTTTTCAGTGCTTTGGGGAGGAACATTCCATCATACAGATGGGAAAAGGGTCCATGACCTTGAAATGGATAGATAAATACAGGCGTAATCCACTGATAGTGTACAGATTATACAGTCAGTATGTCTTATAAACTGTTGAGTTGAGGATGGATTACTCCTGAATCTAAACTTGAGAATTGCTTACAAGAAAGACTGTTATGTGTTTGTAAATGTATGCATGGTCTGGTTGGACTGTGGTACCGAAACGCCCTCTGGGTTAAATAAAGTTCTCTGAGTCTAAATATTATTTTTAAATATTCAGACCCTCCAGTTCTTATCAGAGTCCCTTTACAGACCGAGCTACCACCACCTCACCCCACCCTCGTATTTTTTATGTATTAATGCAGAAGCCCTTGCTTTTTTGAAGATGGAAGGGTTATTTCTGAAAAATTTCACTTTCATTTTACTCTTTTCATACCCAATAACATAATTATAAACTATTATATGTAATATTGAAAAGGGATGCATTACTCACCCAGGTCATGACAGAGGCCAGCAATCTGAACACAAAGGACGTCTCTGTCATGATTTGAGTTCCGGCTGCCTTGACCTGAGAGCCTCAGCAAGTTTTCCTGCTAAGTATCCCACCCTTTTTAGACCACAGAAAACATTTTTTTAAATTATAACGCAGTTATCACAATTTATTATATATATTTTTATTCATATTTTTTATTGATCCATACTAAGACAGGCACTGTTTTCTGCCTTTATTGGTTTTACAAGGTGCTTATGTGAAAACCATGAGTCTTCTCCTTATTTGGACTGAGGTCACCTGTGGGCTGAAATCTGAAAACTTGCTGACTTACCCGATCGAGTGTTCAAAGCGGTTGTGAGACGCTCCAGGGTAAACAAAGTAGACACCTCCAAGCTGCTTTATGAATCGAAGTCTCTGGAACTGAGGTGTGTCAATGATCTTGATGAGGAGTGGGTGTAACTCTATGCTACCATGGATGGGATCATTAAACACCTGGCAGAAAACAAACAAACAAAAGCTAAGAACAATGAAATGCATAAAACAATACACCATGAAGACCAGCTCAAGTTTGTCTGAGGGCTCTGGGAAGTATAGCATAAGCATGAAATGAGCCCAAGAATAAAGCTGATGCTACAAAGAATGTTTTTTTGACTTTACCACTGTTGGGATATTAAACATCTAGTAGAACAAAGAGAACAAAACATTGGACACTGAAAATGTCCTTTCAATACAAAGCGTGTCTTCCTATTCCTTTTTTTTTTAGGATTAAAGGAAAGGAGAACAAAGAGGGTTGGTTTGGATAGTAAAGGTGCACAAAGCTAGCTGTCCTCACCACTGGTGGGGATAATAAGCATCTAGAGAACAAAGTTAATTTGTTTGTTCTGTTTATTCTCTCTTATCTCTCCAGCCGCAAAAATGTGGTGTGATGTGTGGTAAGACGTGAAGTATTTTACCTTGGTGATCGTACTGTAGAATTTAGAAAAAAAAAAGCATTAACAGTATGAAGAAGTGCTGAAGCTTCCAACTTAAAATGATTTCTTTATAAAGTTGGGATATTGTAAACTGGTTTAACAAAGACATACTACTCACTGTTTGCCATTTTGCCCGACTAGATAAAAGAGAAAGAAGTCAGTCATTTATTAAGTAGTCTAACCTCAGTTTTACACAAGCTAAAAGGCAAAATTGGTCAATTAAACCATCAGTTTAAAATAACGATACAACTTACCAAAAGCCAACCATGAATTTAATCGACTATAACTAGAAAACCAACCTCCAAATTTTCCTCCAATCGTCCAAGTCCTTCTTTTTGTACTAACTTGTTTCCTCAGCTCCCTGTAACTTTGAAAAATCTATTTATATAGTTTTTAATGTTTTGAAGCTGTAAGATGTTGCATTTACATCAAGTTAATGTTTCTGATGCTGATCTGACAAGTGGTAAATGTCATTTAAATTTAAAGGCTTTTTTTTATGACGCTCAGGGTTTTAAAACATCTGACATTTATATCTCCACCACACCCATGTTATTGGTCTTCACCCTCATGATCCTCTTCTTTTATTGATATACCAAACATTTCAGAAAACAAAACTGAAAATGCATCAGAATTTCTTAAGTCAAATTAACAAATCTAAACGTATAAAGAAGTGAAGAAATGACAGGATGTTAGAAATAAATCAGTATTAGAAGTTACTTCTGAAGAAAAATTCAGAGGTAGCGTGAATGTTGCATGTTTAACCTGCTCTTTAGACAGAGATTTATAGTGTACTCCATTTGAGGACTGCAAATATATCAAATGGCCACAAGATGGCAATGTTACTCAACTCTCTATGGTAAAGTGTGCCCTGACCATTTGATGAAATAAATGCTCTGCTGGAGAAAGTTTTAACAGGTACTGATCTTTTTTGTGTTGCTTTTGTCATAACTTTCAGAAAGGAAACACAAGAAACCCTCAGACTGTAAAAGATTTTCTCATTCTATGATGACAAAAATGTTCAGCCTCATGATGTATCCAGAAGCATGTAAAGTGTCTGTCTGTCATCATTCTATCCAAAAATAAAAGATGAGACTATAATATGTATATATTGACCTCCAGTAACATCCAGAAATGAGCACATTGCAGATGTGTGTCTATTATGCCAGTAGCTCAGTCTGTAGGGGCTTGGGTTGGGAACCAGAGGGTTGCCAGTTCAAGTCCCAGTGTGGACCAAATATGGAAGTTGGTCTGGTAGCTGGAGAGGTGCCAGATCACCTCCTAAGCACTGCCAAGGTGCCCTTGAGCAAGGCACCAAACCCCTCCCCATCAGCTCAGGAGTGCCCGCTGTGGGCAGCTCCGTCACTCTGACATCTCTCCATTAGTGCTTGTCCATAGGATCCTGTTTGTGCATGTGTGTGTTGCATGGTTAACAGAGTGTAAAAACAGAAATTTCCCCTTGCAGGGATCAATAAAGTTAATCTTAATCTACTTTTTCTTGTGAGATTACTTCTGATTGCAGACATAGAAAGTTGTTCAGGATGATATGACTTTATTCCCAGGTCAGGTATCTTTATAGGGCTTATAAATATCAATTTTTATCATCTAATTTCTGCCGAGGTTTAAGTTTTCTTTTAAACTGAAAGAAGGATGTCAAACTGATTCTCCGTGCAGCAACACAGATCAAACTTAAATGACAAATTGTAATCTCATGTTTGTATAACTATTGATTTTTTTTAAAGTCAATGATGTACTAAAACTGTAATATCTGGTACTTTTTTAGGCTACTGATTTTGCCATATTCACAAATTCACAAATCAGTACAAAACCACAAAAAAACACAAATCAACATAAAGCAAATGAACATAACGTAAGGACAAAGGAACGCAAACTCTGAGTTCACATGTTTGTACACAGGATCTGATGCTGTTTCAAAAGTTGATCCTCTTTGTAGATGTTGTGAATGATTTTAGCTGATGACAAATAGGAATATTACAGAGCTTGATAAATAATGTCAAACCAATCAGAATAATTTCAAGTAAGTTCCTAAATTTTGTTTTTAAAACTATCATTAATACATGTGTTGTATTGGAAATAATTCATAATATATCAACAAAATAAGAATGAAGTAAGGTGAAAGATCCATTTTACACTCACATGGAGGTTTTTGTTGTTCTCTATAGCAGGTCAGGCTTGGTTTGGATGGAAGATGAAGTAACAGACCTGAGCGCAGGCTTTTATAAAGTTGTGGTTGTGGCTTAAACAGGTGTGGCAAAGAAGTCAGATATCGGGATGCAGATTGGATGGTGTAACCCATTGGTGTTGATCTAGACCAGGAAAGGGCAACTTTGGTCACAGCAAGGGCCACATATATTTAATTCTCACTGTCAGAGGGCCAAATTGTAGGATATTCTTCGGTGGACTTATAATTCAACCAAAGGAAGGAATACATAGCTTTTATCAGCCTCTATGATACCAACATTCATATTTTAACCTCCAGTACAATTGTTAATCCTTAATTTAATGTGCTTACTTCAAAATTAAGTTTCTTTTCCAATGCAATGAACAGAGTATTTACTGGTTATTTTCAAATGTACACACTAGTGTTGTAGTAATCGAAATCAAGACCGGTCTCGAGACCACTGTTTTTTAGGTCTCGTCTTGAAAGTATTTTACTCTGTCTCAGACTGGGCGGACTCCTGATTTTAGATTAAGACCAGTCAAGACCACCTCCGATGCTCCTTTCTAAAAGAACAAATGACTTCAATTCATTTGTAGTTTGATTTATATCTCTTGGTTACCACCGCAACCTTCCTGGTGTTACTGATGAGTGGTGAGTGACACGCCCGCTGCACACATGATGATTTTAAAAGTGATATTTATGGTCTTGGTCTTGACTTGGTCTTGATCCCTAAATGTCTCGGTCTTGTCTCAGTCTCATATCACTCTGGTCTCAGTCTCATATCACTCTGGTATACTTTCATATAAGAGTTTTACAAAAACGCTAACAGTCAATTATATCTCAACTGCATGTGGCCCACCCCTGAATTCTAGATTATAATTTGAATGTAGCCTCATTCTAAGAATCAAAATAAAGGCGCTTTATAGTGTTTTGGCGTTGACACTTGCACAAACAAAATGAAAACAAATTCAAGGGTATGAAAGGATTTCTCCATCATAACGTCCCTGCCCTTCCCCAACCGCCTGAGCCCCAGTAAACAGCCTAAAATCCCAGTTAAGTCTAGCTGGTTTTGTTCACTCAACTATACGTTCATCCACACGTGAGGAACCAGAGAGAAAAGCCTCTTGGCCTGCAAGACTCTTTCCCTGGATTGCATTAGTAACTCTTGCAGATATTTGGAATACTTTCCCTTTAGTATAAAGCGTTTGGTGTGTGAGTCCATGCTGTGTAGGGAAAAAGTCGATGAGATTGATAGAAGGCCCACACACAACCTAAATGCTTAAAGCTGCAGCTTCCTGAGCTTCTCGTGAAGGACAGCATTATCATACAGCTTACTGTTCAGGACTCAACTTTCAAACTAAAAATCAACCTTTAGCATTTAATATGTCACAAAAAGGTCAAATAAAGAAAGAGTTATTCAAACTTACTGTCCACATACTCCCCATGGGACTGATAGGATTCATTCCCAATGTAAGCAGCATCTTGACCTCAGCAGTGGTCAGATACTCAGATTAGTTACCTGAGTTATAAGAGACATCTCAGAGGCCCTGAGATGATTATAACTGAGCACATCATGCCAATTTAGAAAGGTAAAAATATTGAGACATCTAACAACTCAGTGACATCAGAAATGTGAGAATGTGCCGACATGAGTTGTTATTTTGTGAGGGATAACGTTAAGGTAAGAATTGAATGTACACCGCACTTTATTCATTGACTCCTGTTTTTTAGGTGAAAAAGGAAAGTTTAAAATGTAGTTTTTAAATACATTTTGGGGAGATAAAAAGCACAATCTTCCACTCTTATGTAAAGCATAAAGATGAACACTGAAGTAAAGGACAAGCACCTCTAAATGATTTTTTCTGCTCAGTATTTTGTCAACAAAACATGTTTTGTTTCTC